ATCATCGTACATTTTATTTCTTTTTATTTTAACTGTACATGTGTATTAATTATAGGTTTTTAATTTTTTTTTTATTTTCTTAGTTTAATAATATATGTATATATACATATAATTCTTACTCTTTATACTTTTAAGCTTTCGATGTATTATTGTAACTCTATCTATATTCATATACAAATATATATATATATATATATATATATATATATATATATATATATATAATTATAATATACATCATTTATAAACAACGAAAGATAAACTAACCTAGTAAAAATAAAAACAATAAGTTTGTTAAAAGGTAATTGAACGTTCAGGAAGTTAATAATTTTTCAATTATATTTGAAGTGAATACAAAAGTGAAAAGCAATGTCGACTACCGAAGATCTCAAAGAAATTATTCCGAATAATTTAAAATCAGTCGATACAATGAATTCAACCTCTATAGAAAATGTAAACGAGCCGGAAACAGTGTCAAATTCTTCTAAAAGAAAGGGGAAGTCCCTTAAGAAAAAAAAAAAGCTCTTAAATCCGGTAATCATCGACGACCCGATAGATACTATATACGATGAATATGAAGAGGATATCGCTCGAAATATGGAGGGTTCTGATATTGAAAACGAACCGTTTCATAAGAAGATTCTGAGACTATGGCAAATGATTGTACATTATTGTTTTAAGCCTGAGAATTTACATTTTAGATATAAGATACTATTTTTAAAATATCTTAGAAATTTAGGTTACAATTCGGCTTTCCTTGAATTTTCATATTTTCATATATTTAATAAATAATAACGTATTTGTTGAAAAACAAGACAACCAAAACATTTATCTTATTCGAATTGAAAGATTAAGGAATTTGTTGTATGAAATTTAAATTTTTTAATTTTATCCATTGATTATTGAAAATTTCTGACCACATAATGTAAATAAACAAATTTTTCTTTTCCGCTTAAAATGTTAAATGCATTCATCACAATTGTAATTCTAAAGATTATTATAGTAAATTCATAAAAATTTTATCCGCTTAGAGTTTTATAACAAACAGGTTTATATTGATAGAAAATATTAATCATATAGTTAATTAATTAATGTTTTCTATATTTATTAATTAATTCATGAATATGTGTATCTTATTTTATTGTTATTTTATTCAGTTCACATCGAAAATATGAAGTTTTTCAATTATACAATAGTGAAGATTTATAGATTTTTGATAATAATTAACATCTTTCATAAATTCTTTAGTTTTTGCAAGGTAATTTAAATATATATATATATATATATATATATATATATAATTAATATAGAATTTCAATTTAATTTATAAATAATTATTTTATGAACAATGATTATAAGCAAATGTTACTGTAAAAACTCTATATATTTAGAAATTTTATAAACTTCATATTTTAATGTTAAATTATTACAATTGGAGTTAGAATATCAAATTTAAATTCCACTCGAAAGACACAAGAAGTTAATTAAAAAATTTACATATATATCATTTTGAAATCTAAAATCGTTTTGATGGCCGAGCAAATTTTTAAGAAACTTATTAATAAGAAACTTTTTTGTTATTTAAAATTATTCGAACATTTTATTTTACTATTCTAAAAATTTATTCACTTTATGATTTTTATATTAAAAGTATGATGTATGGATCTTACATGATATAGCTTATTAATGGAACATCTATAATTTAAAAATAAAAAATAAAATACCTATAATTAATTAAAAATGAAATATTATGGGTATACAAATTAAAAAGTAGCTATTACTAATTAGTAATTACTAATTAAATTTGATAATTTTACATCACAAAAAGTAATGCAGACAATACATTTAAATTAGAATTTAGATTCTAAAGTATCTGTAAATTAATAGAATTTTAATTATGTTTTATCTATATTAGTTTCAATTACTTTTTAATTACTCTAATCTAATTCTCCTAAATTATGTAAATGAGTTAGAAAAAAATACCAATGTTGCTTTCAATTTTTTAACGTAATTAATAAAAAGCATGATATTTACATAGAATTTTGTAAGCAAAAAAATTTTGATAAATAAAATTCTCAAGTAATAAATAGTAAAGTATTTAGTACATAAGGTATTATAAATCAACGGCGTTAATAAATAAGTATTATTATGTAAAATAAATTCTTTAGACATATTGTAATAATTATTTGAATTTAAAATAAACTAATAACTAATTTTTTTACAACTCTATAAATAATAATGAATATTCGAGTATTACCTCAGAGAATAAATCGGATTTATTATTACGTGTATGATAATTTGAAGATGAAAATATATAGATTTTCAAATAAAGTCTAGAATTTTGCAAATAGTTAAGAAACAATAAATATAAATTAAAATTTACGAAAAGAATTTATTGAATATATGTATATTTTTTTTAGCAATTACATAATTAGAAATAAGAATATTTCTATAATAAATGAAAAATATTCATATTAAAAAGATGCAATAAGATATCTACATTGTGCAACTTTATAAACAAAAATTATTTAATCTATGTTAATTAAAAAAATGTAAATTTACAATTGAAATTAATTAATAAATCATAATTGAATAACTTAATGAGAATTTATTCTTAAATGTGAAAGCTCCTTAATATTCAAATTAATGCACAATTCATTTATTTATTAATTGCTCAACAAAAAAAATCATTAAAAGTATAATTTATGTCTTAAATAATTATTAGTTGAATGAATATGATCCCAATTAAAGATTAATTATTAATATTTATTGTAATAAAGAACAAATTAATAACAACAGTATCTATAGAAGTCATTTTAATATTTAAAAGTATTCAATAGTATCAATGTAATAATCTTGATAAAAAAAACAGATAAAATTAATAGTTATTTAAGCAGTACATCCAAAAAAATAAAATTTATAGAAAATGAAAAATAATATCTGCTTATACTAATTGATAGGTACTGATATTATAAATTACGATAATAAATTAAACAATATTTTATTGTACAAAAGTTGGTTTTTCTAAATATAAAAAACTTAAAATAATTAGAATATACATTACATAATATCGACTGAATTAACCTCACAAAATAAACAAAAATTTCATTTTATTCTTCTAATATAATAATAATATTAATTAATATTAACATTTATTAAAAGTAGATTTCGAAAGTATTTAGTCTATAAATTTCATAACTTCTGTAGATGCATATATTTTGAAATATTGGAACGTATATTTTTGTTTGTTTGAATTGAATGAAATGAAATCTTTTAAAAGATTACTCGATTGGATGTGAGTAGGTGTGAAAAATTACATAATACAATTGAAACAGATAATTTCATAATAAATTGACAATTTACCATCGCTTTTAAATACTCATTATTGAAAGAACAAAAATAGTAAAAATTTTTTAACATGAGGCAACATAGAAACCACTTTTATAATATGACAATTTTATTATAATCTAGTATATAATTTTTATTTCGTACAATATAATACAGATTATCAATATTTAAAATCGTTTTTTGTGCGAATCTAATATTTACAGCATTTATGCATTATGGATATATATATATATATATATATATATATATATATATATACAAAGACTTTTTTTATAATATTCAATTATTTATTTTATTTAAAAATAATATTGCTAATAAACAATATTTTATTATTCGTATCATATAGATTTCCCAAAAGCAACTAGAAAAAGGATTGAGTAAAAAAAAAAAAAAGATTGACGGACAAGATGCAATTACAATGGCTCAAAATCTAGAAGACATAAATATTCAAGTGTATGTCACTTTTTATAATTAAATAGAATTGAAGTATGTATCATCATCTATGAAAGCACAATTGTTGCACAATCGACTCTTTAATGATAAAACTTTCTCTCGAATTTAATTATTATAATTAAAATATTTCAGATTAAATAGATACAAAATATAAAAAAATATTTTTATGTATTAATAATCTATATATTTTATGTAGCTTAACAAGATTTATACTTTTTTTTAAGTCTATCAGCTAGGCCAAAAGTTCAAAATTGAAAACGAAATGTAAATATTTTTAAACGCCATTAAAATTAGAGAAGTATACAAAAAAGTAAAATTAGTAATATGAAATAATAAAAAAGTAATATTATTTCGGTATAATTAAATTTAAAAAATATGAATTATATACATTAAAAGATAAAAAATGAAATTTATAAATATTTGATCTTGATTATAATTATTTTATGGAGAAGTGTTAAGTGATTGTATAATGAGAGGTATTTTTTTTTTTTATTTAATTTAAATAAAACTTAAATTAATGTATAATAAATAAAAATATAATTTTACTTAATAATAGATAATATTTTATTAGTTTTTCACTACGAGGCTAATGATTTTTTGGAATATATTGTAAAATAACAAGCATAGTTCGAATTTTTAACATTATTATAATGACCAGATAAATTTGTGTTAAAATTTATGTAAAGAGTTGTAATGTCTGTGTAAAAATTCGTAATCTAAATTTACGATTTTAAATACACGAAAGTAGTATTTTTATTATTAATGCCTTTTAATGTTCATCCATGTTAATGTCTGATTGTAAATTAGCATGAATAATTATTATCGAAATTCATTATTATCGAAGATATATTATTAAACTAGTTCACGACTTAATAAATTCTTTTTTAAATGCTATTTTTATTATGGAATTATAATAAATAATTATGAAATTCATGCAAGTCATAATTCGTAATGCACATCTACGTATGCAGCAAAGTTTTGTCACTTGGAGTTCGTTAACCGTATGATACAGTCGCCTCGTTATACTACGGATAAGTAGCGTCTTTCTCAAAATAAAGTGTCCGATTCGCTAGTTGAAACATCTCATTACGATTGCCTCACTTATCATTGTCCATTATTCATGACGTTTCGCCCTCTGTTCTTCCGCCGTCATCCTATCGGTGCACCATCTGTTCTCAGGAACGACTATTTATTGTAAAATGAATGTTCCATGCAAATGGGATGTGCACGGCCATGGAACTCCGGAGTACGTAGTCAAATATGGAACAGCGTGAGTGAGAGTGAGATAGAGAGTGTGAGAGGGGGAAGGGGGCGGGGAGGGGGAGGGGGGAGAGAACGTACTTTCTGCAATCGTTTGCATGCATCGAAATGCTGGGTAGGAAGATTGCGTGCTAAATTAATTGGATGAAAGGTTACGGTAAATTAAATACATGTACCATGCGTAGATTTTCATTTTGATGAGATGCGTGGCATAATTACTACGTTTACTAATTGCACATGCACCAACATACGCGTATTTACGTATTAATTGATATAAACACGTTCGCAAAACGACCAACATCACATTTACACGTGCACTAATATAGTTATTCGTAATATATATATATATATATATATATATATATATATATACATATTAAGTTCTATAATGAATGCAACAAATTTAAGAAGCATATATAATATATATAATTATTAAAATCGGCTCCTCTTTTTCTAAGAGCAATGCAAACTTGTATATGTACATATATGAACATATATCCAGTTTTGCAGTAAAACGTTCGTAAAACTTTAAAAATAACATCTTTACTTGTAAAATAGTAATATATCTTAATATATCCATATATATTTTGTTCAAAATTAATAATCAAACGATTATCGTATATTCATAAATTCGCTAAGCCATTTGCTTAATTTAAATCATACACAAAATTATTATTCATAAACAATAATAAAAGTAATAAAACGTATACAATATTTTTTTCTATCCTCATATATAATTGAAAAAATATATAAATAGGTTCGTAAAATACTTATAAATCATTAAACTGTCATAATAATGATACATTAAATCTGTGTGTTTTTGCAAAAATGTGTGTGTTTGCATGATTAGACAGACTCATTTGTATGTTTGGAACTTTCTCTTACATATAAACGATTTATTAGATTCTATGCAATGAAAGTAAGAGCATTGGATACGTTTGTGGGTTATGTGAGATTTTGGCTGTTTTCCAACGAAACGCTCCGCGCTCCTTTCATGTACTATGCAGAATTTAAGGAACACGCTTCAGCTGCGCGAAACGTTAATTATCCATCCATCTATATATCTATATATTCCATTATATCCCCTCTATCAGTTCTCTTATACAGCATATAGAAGCATTTCCGAGTATATTCCAGTTGAAAATCGAATGCAGTAAATTTCAGTTCGTGCTTTAAATCAACATTTGTTCGTTCATTATACTCTAACTTTATATTCGTATTTTGTCTAGTTAATTAAAAAAGTATAGTAGTCGAGTTTGTGTAGTTTTTACATCAATATATTTACTTATTTTGATTTTCATCCCGACATTCCTTCTGTGATTTATAATTGATATTTATTATGAGATAGATCTAAACATTTTAGAGATAAATGTATAAATAAACATATATATATATATATATATATATATACAAACAATTGTGCACCTGTTTATGTGTATTTGTAATTAAGAATATATCATTTTTATGTACTTAATTTAAATTGAATTTGAATTTTTCACTGTACTTTTGAGTGTGAAAATAATACTAAAATTTATTCAATAAAATAATCATTTCTTACGAATAAATTTAATATAATTTATAATAAAATCTCGAATATGTTGCTTTACATAATATTACGTTCAATACAATTATTAACAGTCTTACATTTATGATTAAAATATCAATAAACGAAGTAAATAAAAATTTTATTCTCTTAAAATTAAAACTAAAATCCTCAGAATAATTATACATATTTATCTTCGTAATACATAAATAAAAAACGCATATAAGATAATTTCAAATAAATTGAATTTTAATCCGAGTTTATTATAAAAATGATGTCTACAATAAGTGAATATTTAGAACAAATAAAATTTTTTAATAGTTATGTTGATAATCATAATAATGATAAAAATAAACGAATTAATGATCGGTAACTTTCATAACATTAATATAAATGAGACGATTATATATATATATATATATATATACATATACATATAATAATATAATAATAATAATAAATGTATATTTTATATTAGAACTCAACTTGTCGAAGAGTTACAAAATGAAATTGATACGGAAACATTTAAAACTGAGAACAAAATTGTGATAGAGAAGGAGCAGATGGTTCATAGAAAAATTCAATTACAAAAATTAATTAATCTACTAAATGAGCAACGGAAAGCTTTCACGGAATATAAACTTAAATATTGGGAAGAAGAAGAAGTAAATATTTAATTTTAATTAATTTTGTTTAAAAGAATTTAAATAGGGATAAAATAACTACCGTATTTTCTTTTAAATATTACATTATATTATTAAATATTGTCAGCTAAAATTTTTAACGTTATGTAATATAAATTATATATACGTAATATAAATTATATATTTTCTAAATTGTAAAGGAAAGTCTTAGAAAATGAAAAATTGATGTATTATATATGCAAATGCTATGAAATTAATTTTAACTACTTATCTTATTAGATAGCAAACAAATACTTACATATTCTTTTTTTGGGATAATACTTTATAGAATTTATATATACATTATCTATTTATTTATTAAAAAGATTTTCATTTAAATGGAATGATGGTATATAATTTTATGTATCGGCAGATACATTACTAAAATATTTATAGTTTCGTTTTATATCGTTACATTTTTTATAAACCTATTATACATTTTTCTTAGAATTAGTCGTTGTTACATAAACGGATTAAATTTTTTCTGACATTTATAATTTACAATATAATCCCAATTAACTAATATATAGAATACTTAAAATCTCAGTGGTGTTGCTACAGAATATGCAAAAATTTACCAGATACACACAATGTTCAATATCTAAATACGTTTCTGTTCATTCAATCATTGGATGATTCGAAAATAAGCGTAAATACTCTGTCAACAAAATTTCAGATGAGAATTTGCGTAAGAATTTAAAAAAAATAATATGTCAATTATTTTTATTCTAAAGTATTCTTTTTGTATTTTTGTAGATTATAAACGCGTTAAATGAAATCATTGATTATCCCTTGGATCATAAATTAATTTCGATTGAAAATTATAAGGAGGTGAATGTATATTATTTAAATAATATTTATTTGAAAAATAGTATATTTATACGGCTTACTATATTATTTATATTTTTCTCGTTGCTAAAATAATAATTACATAACTATTTAATGCATGTATTGCAATAAAATGTGTAGCTACTAAATTTCTGTAAATAATAGCTGGAAAAATTGTATTTCGATCGAGATTTAAAAATTTTGTATTTGTAAAATTATATCAATACAAATGATGATAATAACGGTAAGTGAAAGTTTACGCTCTCAAATAATAGAAATTATTTGTTAACGATATATATATATATATATATATATATATATATATATATATATATATATATATATATATATATATATATATATATAAAAAAAAAACGAATATTGTAAATAAAATTATTATGGAAAGCACGATTCCTTTAACGATACGTATATGTAATATGTATAGGTGCGCCAAAAATATCGAGATAGTCTTCAAATTGCGATAGACGCGGCAAGTTATAATTTGCTTCGTCAAATAGAAAGGGACACGATCAAAGTAGATTTAAAAAATGCAAAATACATTAAGGAATTATCATCACTTGTTTGTTGCTTTTGGGCCTTTATAAAGCTGCCGATCAGCATGAAACAAATCTCTGAAAAAGACAGGTTTTTATATATATTTTCGTTAATGTCATCATATTCGTTTATGTGAACTGTACTATTCGCTTTGTATTATTTATTTTTATAATTAAAAAATGCATGATAAAATATATGTGAATTAATTCTCTATTATATTTTCATACCAGTTACTAAATATAAGATACTAATCCTAAATAAATCACCTCCATTTATGAATATATTTATCATTTTTAAAAATTAATATATAAACACTTAGATAGTTGCTTCATTCGTACAACTATTAATTTTTGTATATTGTTTGCAAACATTGACTGATATTTTAATGCTTTAAAAAATTTTGGAAACGTATTATATCAAATTTCTTTGCAATTAATTTAATAGTTTTATGAAACTTGGTCTATTAAATTATTTGCAATTTATTAATTTTTCTAAGCTTATCGAATGATTTATTAGAATAGTTTCGATATCCCTTTAGTTGTAGATTTACTTCGACAGGCATTAACTTTATTATAACTGTTAATATACTTATGGATATATATTTGAATATAGTATTGTACGACGGTTGTATTGATTAGTTTCATTGCTATAATTTTGCTTCTAGCACATATTTTCTTCATTCTTATGAGTGTGACACTATACTTATATTTGAACAATCTTGTATTCTAATGTTCCAAACAATTCTGTATTTTTAATTGAGGTTAAAAATAAAGTAATATAATTATTGAGGATACAAAAATAATCGATATTTTAATAATAAGACTGTCTTCTCTAAAATTATTCAGATTTTTTTATTGAATTTTATCATCATTAATGTATGCCTTATTGGGTGCCAATAACAACCTTTTACTTTATAATTTATTAGAAAGGCCATAGAAATTGATTTTGAAGAGATTCATTTGACAATTAAGTTACCTCTTGACATCGACTGCTATTCTTCAGCCATTCGAGTTATTTGGCTAAGCTACGACTATTTTTCCGATCAGTCGGCATCTTTTCATATACCGGAACTACCAGATAAATACCAAATGAAAATGGGTAACTTATTTTATCATACATCTAATAACATAGCAAATATTTTTTCATTATTTCATTATTATGTTAATAAAATTTCATTACAACTATAGTTTGTTCTTAATTTATATGATAATCTTAATAAATAAAATTCTCAATATATAATTTACAATAAAATTTTTATCCTGAAATTTTGAATAAAACTAATACAAAATTATATTGAGACGAATGTTTATTATAAATCAATTTATTTATTGAACTTGTATCTCATTAATATACTTGACGTGTAATATTTTCTCAAATTCATAGTAATAAAATAATCTTCAAAATATAAAATAATAAAGTTTTCATTTCTTTCATTATATAATTTGCTATTATTATTACTTAAAATTATCATGATATGATATATATATATATGGTGCAGCATTGAAAATCATTGTAAAAAAATTATGAAAATCTGTTATGAATTAACGTAAAAATGTACGTGAGAGTTTTAATTTATAAAAAAAAATGGTTAGGTATACGTTGGTAGAAATAGTACAAAACCTTTATTTTACAATGAAGGAAAAATAAAATATACAGTAATATTTTTATGTTTAATTTTTATTGTGCTTTAATGTTTACTCAATAATTATTCTTCAATTCAAACATAAATTCTAACTAATATTCAGTGCAAGAAATTATGTAGCGCTATTAAACAATGTCTTTCATTACTAAGAGAACATATGTATTTAAAAAAATTGTATCGATAAGACATTTGTTTGTAGAAAGAATGTATAAGTATTTATATTGTCAATAACAGATTATTATTGATAATATTTTTTTCTTTGGAATTGATATTTTTCAACTAATATTGATGTCTGTAGATGGTTTAAAATATGAATTTTATAGAAAATAAAATTTCCTTTTTCAATTTTGTGTCAATTTTCTTACGATTCATGTGATTTCAAAATTTATCAATAGACAAAAAATACTATTAGCCTGATAGTTCATAATGTCAGTGAACCAAATTAATTTCATTATCGTATCATAGAAATAAATTTTCTTGTCTATATTAAGGACAGCTGTCACATAATTTCAATAAATATTCAATAATTCAAAATAATTCAATAATTTAGAATTTTCTATAAGCCAGCATGTTATCTAAAGCACAAATACGAAATAATTATTTTACTGCAATGAATTTTGTATTGGCTATTTTAAAATAATGCTTATGGTATTTAAAATATTTTTTTTTAAGAATTAGTTGCTACAATTTAATATAAAAATGTAGGATTCTTCATCGCGAATTACTATAATTAAGTGGTTTAATAAAATAACTAATATTAATAGATTAAAATAAGCTTTATTTTTTTTATCCATTTTTTCATAATAATCATAACGTCATTTTCTAGAATTAATTATAATCGACAGAGGAAAGTATAATAAATTATTCATTGTTGAAAATTTTTTTTTTTGAAATGTTTTTTGAATAGTCAAATTTAATGATGTGTATTCTTAAATCTATTCTAACAATTTTAAATGATTGATATATATATATATATTTTTTTTTTTTAATTATATGAAACACTTCCGAATTTTGTTTAAATAACTTAAATATGATAAAATTGTGGTAGCAACGGTCAGATTTATTATAACCGCTATCCTATTCAATATTTTATAACACATATTGTTGATTCTTTTATGTATCTTATACATGACAAGTTGATATTGCATTAATTACTATTTATTCGTTACTCAAATGAACTTCATTTTATTCAATCAAGTTAAATCTATCTAACTTAGTCCCAGGTATAATAAATACATTACTTTGACTCATTAATGAGTATACTTAAGTATATGAAACTGCTTAAAATGCATTGTGAAATTGCTGGCTAAATTTAGTCTTCTTTGACTATTTAACATTAAAATGATGCACAAAAAATATAAAAAATAATATTAATTTTTTGGTGAAAGTATCAGATACATTATTATTATATAATCTTTTAGTAATTTCAAATTTATTTCTTAAATTTATCAATATCATAAAATTTATTATTATATTCAAATATTTGCACAAAGAAATTAGATATTACACGAGGCTTAAATAAATTTTGTTAAATTCTCAAAATCCAACAGATTTATTAGATTTCTGCATTTCCGAAAGCAATTACCTTCATGAAATGCGGGAAGAACAGAAGGATACTCGTGTGCAACGATTAGCTGAGAAAAAAGCGCTGATCAAGCGTATATTAAATCCGCCCACGAATGAGTCAACCGCAGGATCGAAATCATCGAAGCGCAAGAAACACAAAGAAAAATCAAATTCCGATTTCATGCCACCAATCGAGGCTGGGCCGGAAACAAACTTAGCTAACCCAGAGGAAGTTATCGCGCATCATGAAGGTCTGTATATAATAATGTTTTACGAGAAAAATTCCTTATTCCATAATAAAATTTTTCTAACGAAAGTGATGATATTACAGTATTACAATATGATTAAAATTTGTTATAGTTTTTTTTTTGTTTTTGTTTTTTTTACTGTACTTTCATTCAATTATTGGTGTTATGTATTGTACTGATTCAAATTCATTACACAATTTTAAGATTCAATATACAAATTTAATAAAAATGAAAACACTACTAAATTTTAATTTTCACTCTGTGATTAATCATTTTATATCCAGTATCGTTTTATGGTTTATACTTTTATCATTTACTGATAATTATTATGTAATGGTAGATGAAACGAAGAAAGAAAGAAGACGCTTATTTTTTACGAAATGTAAAAAAACAGAAGTAAATTTACGTAAATACATAATTTTAGGAGGGCATTATCAAATTGCTCTAATAAATCAACCGCCACAGCCGAAAGATTTCCGTCGAGACATTTCTCTTACAACTCGTAAGTAACTGAACGAGGCATATAAAACATTATTTGAAATCATATATATTATAAGTTTATTTTTATGTAGATTAGACTTTTCTAAATGAATTTCTCAACTTTAAAATCATGAACTTTAAATGTGTTGTGTTAGAGTGTCTTGGGGCTGATTTTCATTAAATGTTATTAAAACTTATAAATGGTGTAGAATTAGTATTGTTTCATATTAAAATATTCTTTAATATCATCTTTAATATTAAATATATTGAATTAATAATTGGGTGAATGTGATAACAAAGAACACAAATTTTTAAGCTACATATTTTATTTATTACAACATTCCAACGGTGAAATTTTAAGGATCAAGATTTCTTTCTATAAAATTTGAAGAACTTATCGTTTGGTTATTGCCAAGCTTGCAAAATATATGTGATTGGCCAGTAAATATATGCGTGCTGAAGAAATAGTTACAGAAAAATGCATTGTGAAGGGCAAGGGTACGGCAAGCTCATATGTAAATTTAATTCCTTGGGTCAAACGAGGACAGAAGACAAAGAAGGAAAAGCAATAATCAGTTCCTGACCGATATTCTAAATGAATGTATGCACTTGTCAAGGTGAAATTGTACATATGCATTTATGCATGCGTGCTCTTATGTACGTGTAAGACGCAGGCTTATATTTTGATATATATATATATATATATATATATATATACATACTTAAGTATATTACAAAATGAGACAGAAACAAACGAGAACGTTATTTTCCATGAACAGAATCAATTACATACGCAGGTGCACACACACGCACACACACACATACGCACACTTCACTCATATATCTGTGCGTGTCATTTATATATATATATATATATATATATATATATATATATGCGCGCGCACGCGCGCGTGTATGTATGTCTGTGTATGTAGTTGTATATATATATATATATATCATCGAGTGGCATATGATTTTGATAAAATGAGAAACTACTAGATTATGTAAATATATTTGATAATACAGATACAATTGCATCCGTTCACAAACAAAAATATGCGCTCGCGCGCGCGCGCGTGTATGTTTGTGTGCGTGTAAATGCGTCCGTGTATGTGTCTGTGTGTATGCAAGTATGCGCGTATGCAATTACGTATGTATTTGTGTATATATCAGTAGGCATTGCTGAGAAAAACGAGTAGCGTGTGATTATTTTAGTATTGTTAAGTTACCAATGTTAAATGCAAATTATCTTATCGTTAAAAGTAAGTTACCCTTACTGCCTTGATCTCTCCTTTCCTCTAATTCAATTGGCCTTGGGGCACTTTTGACATGCATTTTCAAACTGTCCGAGCTTAAGCGCATATGGAGAAGCTTTAGATATTAAGACTAATAAAAAGCGAAATGGGAACAGTCCGTTTCGTAAAAAGGCATGAGAGAAAAAATAACTCTGAGTGAAGGGAACTAAGTAGATGGAAAATTGCCCTATTAAAACTTTTAAAATATATCAGATAAAGGAGATTGCACTTTCATAAATATCCAAAGATATTAATGCTTTGTGATAGTTGAGATAAAGATTTAAAACCAATAGCAATGGTACAATCGACAACAATTAGTTTTTATACAATAGTACAGTCATAAGTGTGCAAATTGCAATAAATAATATTATCCTAAAATTTACTTTATGCTGAATTATGTACTTAATGTAATTTTATGATTTATTTAGTGCAGTTACCGAACCAACTTGAATTTATCAAGTTTTCAAGACCTTATAAAGCTCCACCAACTGCGCCAGAGTCCGAAAGAACACCAGAAATCATTGAGGCCGAAATGAAAGCTTTGGAGGCATCGATGGAGGCACTCATCCTTGTCACTCTTAAGTGGGCCTTATTCTTTTTATTGTGTATTATTTATTACTATTTTATCATTATTTTACTATATTACAACAATCATATAATATAGCAATAAATTACTGAGTACAATATCGCACAAAAGAACAAGCAGTTTCTTAGTTTATTTCTTTCCTCGAATTTAATACGCATATTTAATAATATCATTACACTCAATAATATTTATAAAAGTTATTGTGATTCTTTAACATTTGATAAGGTGTTTTTTAATTTATGAATAAATTAAGTGAATAAAGTATTGGAAAACGCATTTAAATTGAATCTTAAACTAACGTGGGCTGTGCGGCGTACTATTGCATATGGTACTAGAAAATTCTCATAAGTTTAAATTGTTGAATAAAAAGGCAAATTAAGTGTTATAATCAATTTATTTAAAGATTCGATGTATTTGCGAATTTAACTTTTTCTGCGAGCAATCGTCTCAGGCCATTTAATCTCCACAGGCTACCGGAAACCAAATTGTGGTTCGAGCCACCGCTAGTTGCACATTGGTTATCAGATGAAAAGATATGGTCCACGGAGGATGTACATGACATTAAATACAACGAAGAGAAGCAAACGATTACCTTTCGCACTGGCAAGTTCGGCATTCACGGTCTAGTAGCCTACCGCTTTATCAATTTACCCTTCCAAAGTTGGGAGCTAAAGCCAGAGGCAGATAAAAATGGTAACGGCGTCATACTCAGTATCACCGGCGCCATTATTCAGCTGGAATTTCTTATAAGGGTATGAACTATGTGCTGGATATGAATTTATGCGAAGAAAATATTTCTCCCCGATAAATGTCAATATTTCACATGACTTGTATTATGCGTTCTATTATGTGATTTCAATTATTAGCTTATTACCGTTGCAATTAATATAATCAATCACAAATCAAAGAAATTGAATAGAATCTGCTATCTATCACAAGTAAATTCTCATTATTATTCCAATTCCCTATTATCTAAACGCAAAATTAATTAAACAAGCATAGAACAAATCTGTGATAATACGCTTGTTTTAACGTCTACTTAATGCCGCAGTACTTCTGATAGTATAAAGTAAAATTTGTCAATTAGGAAGATATGGTCTGTTTAAATTCAGTAGTGGGTGCAGCGCATAAGGTCTTTGAAAATATTGAAGGAGAGTTTATCAGACTTCACAAATTAATCGATGTAAGTAATAAATAATTATTATATTTATAAGAATTTTAAAATATGCTCGAGCTCATCAATTATCGAATAAAACATACAATGTTTAAAATTACGTATTCCTGACTTGTTTTAAATATTTTATTTTTTTTATGTTACTATTTGTATATTCGTGGCATTTAAATGAATCACTATATTATATAATCAAATTAAAGTAAAATTGTCATCATTGAAAAGTATAATAAAATAAATATTTATGGAATGTTACATATAATATTATTAGAAATATATTTTTATTTGATTTACATAGATTTAATTATTTGCAAGCCGGCGTATGATAATACTTACGAAAACTCTTATGAACTAAAACTGTATTATATATTAAATAATTTTCTCGTAACTCTAATAACAATAGGCTATATATATATATATATATATATATATATATATATATATATATATATATATATATATATATATATATATATATAAATATATATATATATATATAAGGACTACCGTTCAGAAATGTTGCAGCATAATATTACAATATATACTTATTGTTATGAAAATGTTTCTGATTAATGGTAAAATCATTTTTATTTAACATGTGATAAAGCAAAAATTACACTGTGTCTTGTTTAAAAAATGTCTTGCATAATTACATAAGAGTAATAGAATTAAAAAAAAATTCTTCCAATAATAATCGATAAGCTATTTATTTAATAGGCAAATGTAAAATTGCATTCAAAATTAACTAGTCGATAAAACAAGTACCATTATGTATACGATAAACATTCACAGACATTACGAAGAATGGGATGCGATTTCTTCCCCGAGCAAGATGCCGCGAGCTACATCAAAGGAATTTCTGTGAAGCATCCAATAGCCGTAGCTCATCTGCTGCAGTGCATGGGTTTGGTGTCCACCGCCTATTCATTTTCATGGTCGAGATGGAATGCGACACGAGGATATCGTGATATAGTTGTGCAAATAAAAGAAATCCACGGTTTTGTAGCTAAGCAGGTGCGTACTATCTTCACAAACACATGCACACGCGACTTATTCATTTGCAAATTTTGCCTTTAAGAATCTCTGCCTCTTTAAGCTCTAACAGTGTAGTCTAGTAAATTCATTTATGAAATATAAACAGACATCTTGTCAATTGCTTGTCCAATGTTTACTTTGACATAACATCAATAAAAGACAAATGTGTGTGTATGTGTGTGTGTTTTTATTCTTCTAATTTGTATACAATTATTATATTTTTAGTGTGAAATGATAAATTTATTCTTTAATTATTGTTTAGATATGAAATCTATGCTGTTAGATTTACTTATTTAAATTAAGATAAATTAAAATTCTATAATTTTCTTTTGACACTTCTATTTTGAAGAAAATGTTGAAAAAAAAATATAAGCTAATGATTTTAATTATTTAATGCGTAGCGAATTACTTTTACAAAAGAAAATTTAAAAAAGTTTCGTATTTATAGTTACAACATTATACTTTATTATTGCTATATCAACATGAAAAAAGTGATATCAGAAAACTGAAAATACATACGAATTTACTAAACTGCCATTTTAATTCAACTCATTTTATCTTAAAATCTTAAATTTTTAATTTTAATCTATTTAAATTCAAATATTTATTTATAATCCTATTTTGTGATCTTTTATTTCATATATAATATATATTTCTATCTAATTTATTCAAATTCTTTAAGTAAATATTTAGTTTATTTATTTTTAGTTAGTAAATAGTTAGTAAATATTAGTAATTATTTAAGAAATATATATCTCTGTATGGTAAAAGGGTGATCTCCTACATTTTTGTTGTGTTATTTATACAAAATGTTATTCGAATGTCTTTGTGTGTAACGAAAATAAATTCAATATTTACGTTTTGTAAAGGTTTTCCAATTTATTACAATAATATTATTATATTTAATTACTAATATATTGTACTATCGTTATTATATGATAATTAACTTTATTTAACAGAAGACAATGAGAAATTATTATTCTATTAAAAATTTACGTTTTAAATTGTTTGAAAATAACTTTATTTATTCCTTTGTCAATAGATGCCTTGTTACTTATGATTTGTTTGTACATTAGTAATCGTAAAAAGTAGTTTGCAAAAATAAATACCTATTCCGATATTAAAATATCAAAAGTTGTTTTCAGTTTTCTTTATATTTTTTTAATATAATACGATTTAATTAAAAGAATTTTGTAATTGTGCAATAAAATAAAATGCTTTTAACGACTGTGATTTGTATTTAAGAAGTTGAATTTAAATAGTACGACAATCGATGTATAAAAATGAAATTATAATCATTGTCATGCATACCGATAAACTTTCCTCTAAAAATAAGATATTTGCAAGAACAATCATACATTATGTAGAACATCCAAAGAACGTCAAACAAATTTGTATTTCACATAAAGCTGATTAAATTTTAAATGTTAAAAGTGTAATAATAATAGAGGAGCAAAAATAAAGATATGAAATCAAAATTTATGAAAATCAACGTTCAACGATTATTGATGAAGAAGAACTGGAATCAACGAAACATTAAACAGAGGTTGCCATACATCAAGGACCACTTAAAGTAGGAAATACACTTTACAAGAGAATTATTAAATCAATCAAGATACAATTATTACATTGGAATGGAAAATTTAAAGGAGAACTTATTTTTACCGAAAAAAATACATTATACACGCGGTGAATATATGATAATGTAGCACCGATTGGGATTCGCCTAATCGAGCAGAATATCTAATGATACGACCATGAGCTAACGGACCCAATGACGTAGCACTATATTCCGAGATAAGAAATTTGTGTTTTTATCGGCTAATATATGTGTTAATAAATTGAGAAGTTGCTTAGAATAATAATAACTCGGACTAAGTTTTCGATCATTATTACGATATATGTTTTATAATAATAAGTCTGTCGCTATGGATATATGCTCCATATTCATTCATATGCATCGACATTCTTAAGAATATTATAGAAGGGCAATATTTTATTTGATACTTAATTATAATTATTATGTAAAAAAATATATGCTTTATGAAAAATTTTGGTTTATTTAGAAATCTAACGCAATACTCCTGGTAACGCCATTCCATACTTCGGTTGTTAATTGTTCAGAAGTCAGCACAGAATTCTGTAGTGATCCAGCGGATGAAAAAGATTACGTAAAATATATGAATTTTAAATTAAGTCACAAATAATAATTATCATTCTTAAATTTGGTATATTACCTTTCAGTATTATGCTGATGTATACCAATATGCACTTAAGAATGCTGGGATAAAAAGTCAACTAGCCATAAAAGATATTTCATTTAAGTTATCCATTACAGTTACGAAACTTTTGGAAGCGACCAATATTATCAATATGTCCGCTTAAAGTTAATCAAATGATGATAAAATTAAATTTTCCGTACTCCTGGAACTAATAAAGTATATACATAATATTAAAAGAAAATTCAAACTATATTGACGATATTAATATAATTAAATATAGAAACACGAAATTAATCCACAAATTCGATATATTATAAAGAATTAATATTAAATAAAAATCATTCGTAAATAATTGTATGAGCTGAGATATATTTCTTGTTTGGTTTGGTGTCCGTGGTAAGTATTAATAAGAACACAACAAGTTTTTATTTTGTTATAACTATTGTAAATTTATTATAATATTGATGTTAATATTTTACAATATAACTCCATGGTCCTAACCACAGTTTTCATTTGTAAGGTAATCGCAAAACTCATGTACCATAGACAAAAATACGCAGGAATTTAAAATTAACGTATTAGCTTACGATCATCCGGAATGGTTATATGGCCGTGCAATTCTATTATCGGGATCTAAGATTAATTGCATTCATAGATCCTACAAATGAACAAACATCATTTATTATGTAATTTGTAAAGTTTTTAAATTAAGTCAATTTAATCAAGAACGCAACATCGCACGTACATTTTGGTTTTAAAACTCGAGTTCGGCCTGAATCAGCTGTTCGATAAATGTTCCAAGTGATTCGTATACTTATATGCAATAAATATCAATAATAACTATAATACTCTAAGAATACTGAGTTCAATTCAGTGTCAAGATAATAATTAGATTACTAAGTGACTATAAATTACAGTTAATTATAAAAATACATAATAATAACGGATAGACAGTTAAATTTTTATTTATGATAAATTTAACTACATTGAATTATTTACTAGTTGAAAGCACATGAATAAATGACGGGTGGCCGAACTCACGCTTTCCTTTTCTTATTCACTTGTTTGTTCAATCAGAAAATTGCATTAATGGAATGTAATTGTAACGCGACATTCACAAACATTAATATTATCTATATATAATGCATGCCTATCACGTTTTATTATTTATATCTTTACTTCATAATTTTTCGAATCCCCTTTACTTCATATACTTATCGATCTCCAATTGAATTGTACTTATATTCACATGCAGGCAATTTATGTAACTACATATAAATAAGAAATGCTTTTCAGGCACTAAAATTGAATCTCAAAACTCTGTAAGCTTTTAAAATATTTCTCTTTCACGTTTTAAACATTTTTATATTATTTACTCGTTAATATGACATTTCAGTGAAAAGTAAAATTGGTCATATTTTATTAACAAAGACATTTTTTCGTTTCTTATTTAAAATTCATCTAACTAAAAATTGCGTATTCTTGCCAAAGATCTTTTGCCATATATCATTTATTAGTTTATGCAATAAGATATGTTCTTTGGAAAACAATAAATAATATATTTAAAATTCTACAAAAAGCATGATGAAGATACAGTGTCGTCTAGAAATTATTATATTTTCTCTTTTCGAAGTTGCATATTTCATCAGACTTTTTAAAAGAATTTTGTAGTTTCCTGGTTTTTTTTTGTTTTTTTGTTTTTTTTTTTTAAGCCATTCTTTTATATGAAAATCTAAAGCACAAAGCTCTGTATTTCCATTTGATCTTTAATTTATTTTTTATTTTAATTTTATTAGTTTGTAACTCAACACGTCGTTACAACGACTGAAAAACTATACGTAATTAAAATTTTTTTTCCATTTCATTACCAATGAATAAAAGTTTTTTAATTCCTTGTATCTCTTCTTTTATTTATTACTTAGACATAAAGAAGAGTATATGCGATTAACTCGATATGCGTATTAAACAATGAGCATCAGCGAAATATGATACGCTAATGTACATATTTTGAGGGATTGGCAAGTTCTTCTAATTGTTGTATTACACGCTCAAATTGCTTTGAGCAAACAAGTTCGATTGAAATTTTAATTTTTTTCATAAAATGCGCTTAGCTATACTTTGTTTGTAAGAAGCTTGAAATTTAATAATACAGCTGTTATTTATAAATCCAGGCTTTCAGTCCTACATTTCATCTTTTTGCAATGACTTTGCGAATTACTGCCAGAAAGTTTATTTGTACAAAATTTTTACGAGCTTATTCTTATGTATTAAAAATCATATAACATATCTGACGCTTTTTAATAACATTTCTGAAATCATTTTTTAATGTTTAATTTTTGAGATAAAAAAAATTGTTTAAACGTTTACGGAAAGCTGTTTAGAACGTGAATTGAATAATTATGGGAGAGAAAAAATGGGCAAGATATTTTTTTCTCTTTTCCTTCTTTTCTTGTTTATTTTTTTTTTTTTTTTTTTTTTTTTTTTTTTTTCTTTTGACGTCACTATATTAGAACTCGATATCATTTTCATTTCATCAGCCATTCACTTCAAAACTTACAACACATGATGATTTTGCTTTACTTCTTTGTCTCTGACCAAAAGACTATCTAATAAATCTAAAAGAAAAAAGAAAAGTAACTAGACGATCTACCTTTGCACGTTTTTGTCGTGGCATAAATTTCATATTTAGACAATAGACAACGACTTTAAACTACGCGAGCCTTATATTAATTATACACTGGCACACATTTCGTATATTATAATTCACTTTCTCTGCTAAATTTTACACTGTATAACTCTTTCTTCAATAAACTGTTTAGCACTTATTTACTGTAAGGTAATATTAAGAGATAAAAACTTCATAATAATTTATTTACCTTCATGCACTTGAGAGACGAAGAATCAATACATTTAATAAGAAAAATTCGCTCATTCCCCCGAGCGAAATAGAGCAAATAAAAATTGTGCTACAATTTAATATCAAATTAATATTAATAATAATCATTGCTAATACAGATAGTAGGAATTATTATATTGTTTTTATTTCTTTGTCTCTCTTTCATAACGATTAAGCTTACGTCGCGAGCTCACATGTTCGCTTTATATATATATATATATATATATATATAAGTTCGTAATCAAAATATTGAAATAATTTTAACAACGTTTAATAATGCGTAGCTCGTCGATGCATTGCTCCGAAGGGGGCAGGTTACATTCGTCACATAAAAAAAACGTCTAATTTTTAACCTTTTGTATTACTTTGTATATTTCTAGAAGTATTTTTATTAAATATTTACAGAGGAGGGCATTATTTCCAATGAGTTAAATTTTGCGTTTTATCGATTTATAGTGTGGTGACAAATACAATTTTGCAGGTTACTCTTTTTTTTTTTAAGTATGCACTTATATAATTGTAACGTGATGAAATTTTTTGTGATTTAAATATCAGTTGACTTTCATTTTAATATTGAGTAGCTTATATTATCACAATTACACGATAAATAGTAATATTTTTAACGTACTTATATTCGAGCTCACACTCTAAATATTATATGAACGATGAAACAGTAGTTATTAGACGTCATTTCAATTATATACAATTATATACTGTAGTAAAATCTCTAAAATATATATGTATGTGTGTCTTACAAAAATGAAATATTCTTAAATTTGGAAATATATTTAAATCAACTATGAATTGCTTAAAATTGGCATAAAACAAAATATAATAAAATTATTTAATCTATTTTTATTTAGACAAATAATTACGATTATTAACAAAAATAATAATAAATCAATAACTTATTTTCATATTAACTTCATTTCTTCGTTATATAATCTATTGAAAAGATTATAATTTCATATATATAATTTAAAAATTATGGTTATGGTAGGAAACTAGAATATAAATGAACAATTATAATTTCTGTTATTATAGCAGTATAATAGAATATTCATTAAATCGTATTCAGTTATACATGAGTATATAAGTTTTTCTTTTAATTATAATTTACATATTAATTGCAATATTGTATCAAGCTTTTCTTTCCCCTTAAAACCAAACATTTAAAAATATATATTTATCCATTAATTTTTAAAATTATTTTCTAAGATTATATTTTCTAATCTCGCATGCTAACTTTCTACGCGTATTTCTCTACAGTTCATCTTTCTTTAAATAGATAAAACATAATAACATATAGTATAATATAATACATTAAAATACTTTAATGAAAAATAATGTATATAATGTAATGTAAGGTATAACATATTGAAATGTAACGAAATTGAGCGAAATGGAATATAATATAGTATAATAAATTTATAGAAAACTATAATATATCCATTCAATTATCTTTACTTATTTAATTCATGTATACCAATAAATATTTTTTATTTTTAATAAATATAATAATTTGTTATAATTTTCACATAATCCCATTCCTTCGGTAATCATTTTCTAGATATTCGGTTTTATGTTTATGTTGTGTAATACCATGACTTGCAATTTCGTTTATACCAAATTTGTTCACAAATTCTAATAATTAATGAGAAAATCTTCTTTCACGCTAAATTATCAATATCCGTAAAATCGTGTGTATAATAATAAGCAAAGTTTATAAAATCCAATATTTTATAATTACGTACATTGATTCTATATAATTACGTAGAATTCCTAATAAATTAGATTTTATATAAAAACCAGAAGATTAAATTATAATAAATTGTTAAATGCAAAAATTATAAATAATCTATAATGATAAAATGAGAAATACACTACTGAATTCTTAAAACTAAATATATTGAAAGATAAATTAAAAAGATATGTACTAATTATAAATAGCGAAATATTAAAGAAAATTTAAAACTAGTATTATAGAATTATTAGTTAATAAAAAAATTAATATTATTTTGTGATTATAAAGATAGTATTTTTTTTTTGTTATTTGTCAATAAATATAACAAATTTGACAATAAATATACATAAATGACATTAATAATTATAATTAATTCTTCCACTATACTAAAAATTGAAATATGAGGCTTATAAAATGAAAAAATTTCAATGTGGTCCAATTTCTGATTCAAATTTTTCAAGAATAATTCATACGCATAAATTGAATAATGGAAATCTATATAAATTTCTCTATTTATTTGCAATCTATTTTTTATGCAAATAATTTAAATATTTTATGAT